CCTTTGGTTCTGGATTGTGGGGGCATGAGATCTCGATGCACTCCGTTCCGTTTCGAGAACATGTGGTTGAAGGTGTAGGATTTCCAAAGGAATGTTAGGTTGTGGTGGGAGAAGGCTGAGGCCACTGGTTCCTCTAGTTTTGTGTTAGCCCGGAAATTGCGGACTCTCAAAATCGAGCTCAAGAAGTGGAATAAGAAGTGTATGGGAATCTCGAATGGAGGAAAAATAGAGTTGTTGCTGAAATTTCTGAGATTGATCGCCTTGAAGGAGCGGGTGGGAATGCGGAGTCTCTACGCTCTAGAAGAGATTCCTGCCAGGCGGATTTTGCTGAGATTGCTAGCTTGGAGGAGATTTCATGGCGTCAGAAGTCTCGGGCCTTATGGCTTAAAGAGGGGGATCGTAACACGAAATTTTTTCATAGGCTTGCAAATGCCCATAGAATAAACAATCATATTAGGAGAATCCGTGTGGATGGTCTGGAGTTGTTGAGGGAGGATGAGGTTCGTAGTGGGATTGTTTCCTTTTATCAGAGGCTTTATACTGAGCCGTTGGGGTGGAGACCTAGGTTTGACGGTTTACTTTTCGATTCTATTTCTGAGGCGGATAGAGATGATCCTGAGGCCCCATTCTCTGAAGTGGACGTTTTGAAGGTTCCGTCGAGCTGTTATGGAGACAAAGTTTTGGGGCCAGATGGGTTTACAATGCGTTTCTTGTTGGAAAGTTGGGAGGCGGTCAGAAGTGAAGTCATGGGCTCTTTTCACGAGTTTAATTCTCACGGTGTTTTCGAGAAATCGTTAAATGCTTCCATTCTTGCCCTCATCCCTAAGAAGGGCGGAGCTTCTGATTTTAAGGACTTCAAGCCAATCAGCCTAGTGAGCTGCATTTATAAACTTATTGCTAAGGTTCTTGCTCTTAGAATGAAGGAGGTTTTGGATGGGGTTGTTTTAGAGTCCTAGAATGCCTTTGTTGGAGGTTGGCAAATCCTTGATTCAGTTCTTATTGTCGGCGAATGTGAGGACTCTAGGCTAAGGAGTGGCGTTCTCGGAATTCTATGCAAACTGGACATTGAAAAAGCTTATGATCACGTTAATTGGAGCTTCCTGTTGTACATGCTTTAGAGGATGGGTTTTAGATGTAGATGGAGGAGATGGATTGAGACATGTCTTTCGTCCATCAAGTTCTCTGGTCTTGTGAATGGATCACCTGCTGGTTTTTTCGGGAGTTCTCAGGGGTTGAGACAAGGTGATCTTTTGTTGTCTTTTCTCTTTCTCATCGTTATGGAGGGCTTAAGCAGATTAATGAGGAGGGCATAGGACTTGGGTTTCATTAAGGGATTTAGGGTGGGTAGAGATTCTTCTCATCAGATGGAGATATCTCATTTGTTGTTCGCAGATGATACTTTGGTTTTTTTGCAATGCTAATGTGTCCCAATTGAGATATTTAAGGTGTATCCTTGCTTGTTTTCAGGCGGTTTCCGGGCTGAAAGTTAATGTTGGTAAGAGTGTGCTTGTCCTGTTTGGGAAGTTCAAAACATTTACTCCCTAGCTGCAGTTCTTGGGTGCGGGGTGAGTTCTTTCCCTATCCCGTACTTGGGTCTGCCTTTGGGGGTCTCTTCCAGAAGGGTGGGGAGCTGGGATCCTGTGATTGATAGGTTCGAAGTCCAAGAAGAGATTGGCGGGGTGGAAAAAGCAATATTTATCGAAGGGTGGGAAGATCACTCTCATAAAGAGCACTCTCTCGAGCCTTCCTACTTATTTCTTATCTATGTTCCAGATTCCATGCTTTGTTGCCGAAAGGTTGAAAAGATCCAACGAGATTTCCTTTGGGGCGGTAGGGGCGATGAGTTCAAGTATCATCTCGTTAGATGGGAGCAAATCTGCAAGCCTGTTAAGTTGGGTGGCCTAGGTATTAGGAGAATGGTCCCTTTTAACAGAGCTCTCATGGGTAAGTGGTTGTGGAGATTTGGTAAGGAGCGTCGTCACCCTTAGAGGAGGATTGTCTCTTGTAGATTTGGTGAAGAAAGAGGTGGGTGGTCTTCTTACCCAGTTTCCATTGCTGGAGGAGTGGGCATGTGAAGTGCATTCGGAAGGGGTGGGATGTCTTCTCTTCTCATATTCGTTTCAAAGTTCGGGATGGTAGATGTGTTCGGTTTTGGGAGGATCTTTGGTGTGGTGACCAACCTCTGTCTTGTATTTTTCCTAGACTTTATGTAATCGCTGCCGATAGAAACACCTATGTTGCTGATTGCTATCGGCTTGATAGCAATGGGATTACGTGGGATGTCCGCTTTAGGTGCTCTTTCTAGGATTGGGAGATGGAGGAGGTTTGTGTCTTATTGGATTTGTTGTATCAACAGGACGCAGTTGGCAGAGGTCATGATGCTCTCTTGTGGGTTCCATCTTCCCATGGTAGATTCGATGTTCGGTCCATGTTCTTGTGCCTCTTTAACTTTGCTAGTTCTGATTTCCCTTGGAAGACAGTATGACGCTCTAAGGCTCCCCTTAGAGTGGTATTCTTTGTATGGACATCCGTTTGGGGTAAGATTTTGAAATTGGACAATCTGAGGAGGAGAGGCAATATTATTGTTAACTGGTGCTGCTTATGCAAAAATGATGGTGAGTCTGTGGATCATCTCCTTTTGTACTGCCCTGTGGTGTCTGACTATTGGAACATGATCTTTGGGTTATTCGGTATTTATCGGGTAATGCCACGGTCTTCAAGAGGCCTGATTAATGCATGGCGGGGATGCTATGTGGGGGGTCTTGCTCGAGACTATTGGAGGACAGTCCCGTATTGTGTGTGGTGGTGCACTTGGAGAGCGGAACAACAGACTATTTGAAGGAAAGGAATCGTCCGCGGCGACTCTAAAACTTTTTATTCTTCACTCCATTTTAAGTTAGGTGAGGGGAAGTTATTGTTCTTCTAATGATGATTTCATAGATTTTTTGGACCTTCTGGGTCCTTAGGTTTCGGTTATGTTTTTGTATATGGGACGCGTTCCCCTTTTGAACGCTTTTTTCGTTTCAATCCACATTTACTTATCAAAAAAAAAAAAAAAAAAAAAAAAAAAAAAAAAAAGGATGCAGTATGCAATGAAAAATGGATGTTTTGGGCCTTTTGGAAAAGGCAGAGATCCACTTCAAAGTTATTTGGGTTTGATATATTCCGGATGAATTGAGGAAAAATTATTGAGGAATTCTCAATTTGAATGTCCATTAGTTACGTACTAGAGACTAATAGGTACTAATTTTCATAATATTAATTGGCAAGATTATGCTTTCATTAATTAGAGAATCAGTGTATGTATTCAAATTGAGCTTTTGGCGATTGACGATATCTGTAATTGATCTGTATATAGTGTTTACAGGTACTCTCCAGAAAGAGAATACACTCTAAATTCTTTTCTCTTTGTTACCAAAATGGGTATTGATTTTTTCTTTATTTTTTCTTTGAAGAGTTAGAATTTTTATTTGAGGAAAAGAAGATGGTAGATGGCTTATCGGCTTTCCTTCGAGTTCTTGTGATTCTCACTAAAACAAGTCAGTCATATTCTTCTCCATCACATATTGAGAACGAAGAGAGAGTTCATACTTCTCTTCTGCCACACTTCAATTTATCTCCGAGAGACGAACACAGAGTGAGAGGGGGGAAGTTAAATTAGGGATTTTAACCCCATGCTACAACCGGGTTATTTTAACCCATGTACGCAACTTGGGTTGTAAAATGGATCCAATTATGTAAATAGGACTTGATGGCATTTTGGTTAACTTGTAAGGGTAAAGTGGAGATATAATGATATGTCTGTCATGTGAACGCAAGTCATCTATTTCAATTATTGATTTGACATTACTGTGACGACAAGGGGTATTTGTAACATTTTTATAAACTTTAGGGGATTTTGTGCTAAAAAAGAATTGTTTAATGTGATAACCTACAAAATTTTAATATTCAGGGGGTTTCTCTGCAATTTGCACCATATATGTTATACTTTTGAGATGACCAAAGTGGAGAGAAGTAGCAACTCTATATGTACTCCAGCCATTTGTTATATTATGATTTTAAGATGCCAACAATCAAAAAGCTCAAAAACTGATTTTGGCAGATCTGAAAACTGAATGGAGAGTCCAAGGGCTGTAGCCTAGTGGTATCTCCTAAACTTCCAAAAGTGGAAGGTTGAGGGTTCAAGTTCCCATAGGGTGCAAAATATGTGGATGTGCTAAGTGCTAACCGCTGATGCATGAGTAGATGATCCGCCGATCTGTCATTTTCATTCCATGTCACTGCACCAAGTAGTGGCCTTATTTAATTATTTTTTATTTTTTTTTAAACTTATATAGAGCATAGATTGAATGCTGATGCTGGCTGGTTGGGGTCCTAACAGTCAGAAGTAACTCCTAAGTCTTCTTTAATGCGAACTAAAGGGATGGTTAAAAGGCAAGCAGCCATTACTACCAAAAAATATTGAGGGATTTATCTTAAACTATTTGTGTCCAACTATAACTACCTTCAATAGAAAGTATGGCATTACATCTGTGCACTCATCCACTTGTTTCCGCTTCCTTGCGCCCCTAGCTTATGTGGTTGCTTCAGTATGTCTTTCAGTGTACTAGCATGGACATTCCCTTGTCCCGTGAAGGAATGAATAAAAAGCATTGCCTCCCTGTAATGGAGAAAATGACAAGAAATATAGCTACCTTAGAACAGTTAGTCACCAGCTGCTGTTTATGAGGGTTCCTATTCAAAGTTTAAAACAATTCTTCTAGCACCGATCTATACGAGGGCTCTATGTTTTAGAAATCCAATATTCAGTTCTGGAAGATGACATCCTCCATTACAAAAAATAACAATGGTGCGGTCTTATAAAGATCAAATTTCAAGGTTTTGTTGTTATGAATATATTCAAATCTCCTTGTTAAAATCCTTAATTGTTTTTTCCCTGCTTTGTCATATTATGCATCTGTTTTGTAGTTACTTTTTAATAATTTATTTATACTTTGCAGGGCCAAAACCTGCTGAGTTATACGTAAAATATACGTGGAAGATAGACAAATTCTCGGAGATCAACCAGAGAGAGCTTCGTAGTGACCCATTTGATGTTGGTGGCTACAAATGGTATGAGGCTCCACAAGCTTTCAGTTATAGTCGAGTTCTATAATGCATATGTGTATATTTGCGTCAACTTCATTCAGACACACGGTCATTGAACGTCACAGGCTTGATAGAAATTGAATTGGAAATTTGATACTTGGGTTGGCCTGTTTTGACTCCTAATACATCTGAGTGAACATGTGTAAATATGACAATAGTCTCATCAGATTGTTACCATCTGATTTGGCTGTGATGTTTGTCAATACATATGACAATAGTCTCACCAGATTGTTACTATCTGATTTGGCTGTGATGTTTGTCAATATTTGAATATAATATGCTTGAATGAAGGTTTCATGAAAATTGAATAGACACTTGGCGATTAGGTTTGCCTGTGGTGGCTCAACAATTCTGTTTTCGCTCCATGTACATTTCAATATTGCCATAATTTCATTACTGAGACGCACTCTTGCCTATCTTGTGAGTTGTGACAATGAGTACTATGTTCTTTTTATGCATAGCATGCTGAGGGTTTCATATATTACACAAATACCACTTACATACTATATCGGTGATGTTGATGTAAAAAAGGCTCACTTGTACCTCTTCTAATTTAAAGATCCTGTTATGGGTGGCAGGTACATTTTAATTTATCCCCAAGGTTGTGATGTCTGTAATCATCTTTCTTTGTTTCTGTGTGTTGCTAATCACGACAAGCTTCTTCCAGGTATGATAATGTTTAACAATTTTAGTTGTTGTGATTTTAAAAATTCTTGGTTTGCAGCTGATATCATGTGCCTTCTCTTTTTCGATAAAACAGGTTGGAGTCATTTTGCACAGTTCACAATAGCTGTGGTGAATAAAGATCACAAAAAATCTAAATATTCTGGTTGGTTGTTTAGATATTGGTTTAGTCGTCATGGTTGAGTTTTTGTTTTTATTGACGATCACCACCAATACATTAAATGTGAATTTTGGCAGACACATTACATCGATTCTGGAAGAAAGAGCATGACTGGGGATGGAAAAAGTTTATGGAGCTATCAAAAGTGTCTGATGGTTTTATAGATGATAATACTCTCATTATTAAAGCTCAAGTACAAGTTATCAGGTATTCCCTAAGGCATTTTTCTCAAATCTTGTTGGTCTGTGTTTGACATCATTTGGTATTAAACATAGCATTCAAACTTAAAGAATTTGTTTAGGCATCGTATGGAATTCTTGATTTGTTAGCTTTGGCTTAGGAACTATATGATGCCTTGCTTTCGTTGATTGATTGTGGTGATAGCTTGTTTACTTTGGTTACCTGAAATTATCTGAATAATGCGTGACCTGAAAAACTCAACTCCTTCAATAGATATACCTCGTTATTTTTTTTTTCCCCTACATTTTTGTGGCAGGTAAGTTGACTTTTTATGAAACAAAAGAATACAAACAGGATATACAATAGAGTGCAAGCGCATCCAGAAGGGTGTGTAATAAGGTTCAAAGGAAGTATAGCAAGTAACACGATAACTGCAGGTCTGGAACAGAGGAACTATATATATATATATATATATATATATATATATATATTAATTTTTAACAAGAATACGTTCTCCCTTCCCCTGCACACAGATTTACATGATGTCACTGGAAATTCACCAAAGAAATGATTTTGCGTGCATCATATAAATCTTTGATATTGGAGAGAGAAGAAAGGAAATGATTGTTTTATTTTGCGAGTGATTTGGGCAAAATAGAAATTTACTTGTTTAACAAAACAGGGGCAAGACACATAATCACTAAATCTTTGATCCTTTCCTTCCACATCCTCTCACTATAGGAAGGATAGCCAAATAACTATTCAAGAGGTCATGGTCTACCTCCTCATGGTTCTCTCCTTTTCCACCTCATTTTTGTAACGAACACAAGATAAGCTTTAATTTTCTCCTTTCCACTCCTTTCCCTCCAACTCCCTCATTACAAATGCAGTGTTATTGTCTAATTACCCCATAATCTCATTATCCCTTATGTAATACATTTCCCAGTTTATCTGATTATGGTGCATAAAATGCCTGCGATGAACATGACGGGTGCATTCATATGTTACTATTACTTTGCTCAATGCCTTATAACGGTACTTACTCTTATTACTACTGCTCACAACGCCTTATAATTTAGGTTAATAGCATGAACAAACTGCTGGATTCTTTGGAATCTAGTTATCAAAAGTAAGCTACAATATTGTTGGGATTTCATTTGAAAACTGCAGTTGTCTTTTTTTTTTGCGCCTTTTTATGCCTTGCACATGAGGCCCATGACCCAGTTGGCATCTAGTCTTTATTTTTAACTTTAAAGTAACAAAGATTTATGTTGTATCATCTTAACAGCATAGATATATATATATATATATATATATATATATATATATATATATCTCTTAGTTTATGTAATATTTGACTAAATTTATCGACTGAACAATGTAGTACATTTATTTTAATCTATTTTATATATTTTTTAAAAAGTTTTTTTCCCCCTTCTGGTTTTCCTTTTCTTTCATTTCTATGAACAACATTCATATAAATTAACAAATGAGAAACTAACATTTTCTTTGTTGAACTGTTCTAGTTATTTAGAATGTTTCTTACTTTATATGTGGTCATGTTTATTTGGACTTTTATAATGTCTTAGAAAACAATATTTTCTTTTTTTTTTTTTTAATTATAATTGTCCATGATTTTTCCATCTTCTTTGCTAATATTGAACTACGTTGATATTTATTTTGTAAAATTCTACGATTAGAAGACTTGAGTATTGCCTATGCTTTAGCCTTCTAAAACTGTGATTGAAATTGACATTCTTTTGACTTAAATTTCGTGTTGAAGTTATTGGGTTAGAAAGGGTCTTGAATTTAATTTTACATTAGTCTAATACTTGTTTGGGACTTGAAATTTAAATTTAATTCTACAAGATCTGTCGCCAATTACCCCTGGACTTCTTTGTAGCTTTAATGATTGACTGAATCTATCATTACTAATTTGTATTTCATTTACCATAAGAATTATATCATTTTGATAACTAGATTTCAATACATGCTGTTGGTTTTCAGGGAGAGAGCAGACCGTCCCTTTCGTTGCCTTGATTGTCAGTATAGGACAGAACTTGTTCGGGTATATTTGACGAATGTAGAGCAAATTTGCCGTCGTTTTGTGGAAGAGCGAAGAGGCAAGCTTGAAAAATTGATAGAAGATAAAGATAGATGGTCAAGGTAAAAAATATTAGTTTCATGATTGTTAGTTCCAATAGTTCAACATATTTTTAGGCGGAAGCTATGGTATTAAAAATATTTCAGAATTGGATGGTCTTTTAGTTCATTTGGCCATATGTTTTGACATTCCTCTGTGTCTTTTTCTCTTGGGTTGATCCATCAGAATAATATTACTTTTTTTATGTAAGTCATTTGTGGAATTTTTCTAGCAAAAGCAATGTATTATACTGTATGGTCTTTAAAGTCATTTGATTTGTCAAAAGTTATTTGATTTGTCATTTGTCGGCTACACATTGGACACCTTACTTTTCCCTCCCGCCAGTTATTTGTGTTCTGGTTGTGATGTGATAAAACTTCTGTTCAGTATATCTTCAATTTCATATAATGAAAAACTTGTGATGGTTGCAGCTTCTGTGCTTTCTGGCTTGGAGTTGACCAAAATACTAGACGTCGCATGTCCAGAGAGAAAACAGATGCAATTTTAAAAGTTGTTCTGAAGCACTTCTTTATAGAGAAGGAAGTCACATCTACTTTGGTAATGGATTCTTTGTACAGTGGATTGAAGGCTCTTGAAGGCCACACCAAGCGCAAGAAAGGTGGGACAAAATTATTAGAGGCTGAGGAAATGCCAGTTCCTATTGTTCGTGTGGAGAAAGATATGTTTGTCTTGGTGGATGATGTGTTACTATTACTTGAGAGGGCTGCCATGGAACCCTTGCCTCCAAAAGATGAGAAGGGTCCTCAGAACCGTACAAAAGTAAGCTCTATGATTGCGATTGTTAAAACTATTATAAAACATGTTCTGTTTTCACAATTTTCTTTCTTTCTAGTACATGGTATGTTATTTTTGTTGTGTCTTTTTTCTTTTTTACTGGGTGTGCAACTTGGTTTGGTTGAAATGGTTTAGCATCAATCCATAACCAAATTAACTTTTGATTTGCTTTCATAACCCAGAATCAACCATAGACCAATAATACCAAACCTGTCCACCCAAGGTTTGGTTTAATTCAGCTTGGTCATGTTCTATAAGAAATTATTAATTTTCCAATTTTTGGCGACTTCAAAATTCCTCAACAAGATTAACAACATGATGTCAAGGCATCTATATTTTTATAGGGTAAATTATGTAGACCTCCCCTGAGGTATAGGTGATACACGTGTTAAGATTGGCCAAAATTACACTGGCCTTCCTTTCAGAGTGTGTCGGCTAAACAAACATTAATGGTTTTGCATGAACTGTCTCTTTCACCTTGAAACTTTTTGGGAAAAAGAAGAAGATATTTTTAAAAAGACGATCATGACCATCTCTTTTTCTCTCCTCTCCTCTCCCTTTTTCTTTCTGTTTCATCTCCTCTCCCTCTTAGACCCGCTGCCTGTGTCACCACTTTCACCACATAACCATCTCTGGCCACCACCAGATCTTCCATCTCTTCTTTTCTTCTCTCACGTTCATTTCTCTAATCATTACCACTGTAAGAATGTTATCCAACCTGCCAAATGGTCCATTAAAGCACTATATGAACTCCATTAATTTGTAATATTTCGATTCCCCATTGAAAGCTTCACCTGTCAAAGTATCCATCACATGAATATATCCCAAATGTTCATACTCGACACCATTAAAATAAAGATATTACATGGATTTTTATAGGTTGCTGTAGGTCTCCTAGTTCTACTTTGAGTTAAACATTTTGACATCAACTTGAAATCAATGTAAATAAAGACTCGAATCATCCTGAAACTTGATTAGACAAGGTCTTGAGCGGGCTGATGGGGAATTTGTATGTTTTATTACACAATATAGAATGATACATAGAGAATTTATCATTTAATAAAATGAAAATTAGAATTGAAATTACAACATAACCACGGATTTGAGATACATTTGACAATATAGTGATATACATAGCATCTTGAAGCAAACAGAAAAAAGAAAGAAGTCTTCTTACAACAGTAAGAAAGACCAGAAATACTCCAATCACCGTCAAAGCCTAGATTTCTATAGGGAAATCTGGGGGAAAGCCTTGGAGAAGTATAAACTCTAATAATATCTCAAAATTATATTGATTAAGACTTGATTACAACTGATAAAGAGGGCTGTCCCTTTTATAATACTGCTATTGGTGACACTTGACATATCCTAGAAAGACTTTTAGAATTGCCACACAGATTTAATAGCACTTTACCACTTTCCTAAGTGAATACTTGGTAGTTCCAAAGCTTAATTAATTACTACCCCAAAACAAAAATGACTCTTTGACTTTTTCTTCAAGGAACTTTCCAAGGCACCATTGACTGCCTCAATCCTTACTGAAGTACCCTTAATGCTTTGCATCATACCTTCCTTCTTGAAGAAAACTCGATCTCGAGTTTGAAACAATTTACCACGATCAATGACAAGCTCAGTATTTTTATTAAGGATGCATAGGTATTCGTACAAAACATGAAACATGAAACTATTGATTTATTTTTATTTTTTAAATTTAATTCGTTTAGTAAGGATGCATAGGTATTCGTACAAAACATGAAACTATTGAGGGCTACACTTTACCATGACTATTTCATGTTCATATATAAGGCGGGGACCATGGACAGAAATATTTCATCTTGAAGTAGGATCGGTTGAGTGCATCCATGTTATTGTTATGCGAGCATGATCCTTTTAGAAAAAACATACTTAAAAAAAAAAATGTAGAAAACATTTTATAGAAACATAGGTAGATTTTGTATAACCTTGAGCTAGCATCATTTGAACAAAGAATTTGATATTTGACATATTCATTAGACAATGTAGCAGTGATGAGTTTTCGAATATGTAATGAAAGTTATAGAAAATTACATTAGAATTTTCTGATTGGTGCTCATAGGGAAACCTAGGAGTAGGTCCAAAACGTGATATAAAAGGAATACCATTTTACACAACGTGCTTCATGCTTAAGATATCTGGTCATGGAACAGGTGAAGATATGTTATCAAAATGTTAAATGATGGAGGGGAAGTTTGAAAATGATATTTATCTAATTAATGGAGGATATGCCCTCGATGGACTTGATTGTTGAAATTAAAGCCTCTCTTTAGGCTGAAGAAAATAAGTCAAATAAACAGTCAGCAGCAGAACTGCTGGTAATACTGCTGCATCTCAATGGGAAATCAGCAGGATTTGCTTGGCTGATACCAACCAATTGCCACTATGATGCATTATTGGGTAATAGAAGTGTGAAAGTGAATGCTGTAATCCTTACAAGAAAACCTGGAAAGATAAAATTTTATGATATTTTATTGAATCTTGATAACTTTGAAGGAAGTGGCATGATGTGGTCTTCTGATGCACTTACTGCTATTTGATATGCTTCAACTGATCTCTTTTATTTTTGATATGGTGTTTTTAGTATTCATATTAATATTTGATTTTTATGGATATAAAGTGCATTCACTGATTGCGAAATGGCATTACACGCGCGTGCGCCCGCGTATTGTGCAAATATGACTATCAGTGCTTCTTGTGTTTCCAAACACATTATGTTTTCTTTTCATGTCGATATGTTTTTATTTAAGATATTTATTCATTGATTTGATAAATTCCCATACTCTTTTGCTGGTTCTTCAATGCCTTACCCTTTACACGTAGGATGGGGGTTGTGGAGAGGACTTCAATAAGGATTCCATTGAACGGGATGAAAGGCGTCTTATGGAACTGGGTCGTAGGACTATTGAAATATTTGTCCTTGCTCATATTTTCAGGTAACCAATTTGGTGCTTATGTTTACTAGTGGAAACTTCTTTCCTTGCTGGAACTGTTGCTATTTTGAGTATTGTGTATCGAAGTCATGTTATTGTTGCTAAGTAGTCCCTGTCTTCACTTCCACCTGCCTACTTGTATAGGGTTTAGTGAGTTTCCTGCTTGCCTTGGATGCCTTTTCCATAACAATTAAAAGTAATTTTCAGGGAAATGAACTGGGGATCGCAACGGGGCAGGTATGGGACTGTTCCCCTAAACCCTACCCTGCCCCGTTTAATATTGGTTAATATTACTCCATCCCATACCCGTCCTGAACCTGGGACGGGGTTGAATTCCGAATCCCATCCCCGTTTGCTAACATAATTCCCAATCCTGATTCTGCCCGTATACACAGTTCACACACAGACAAACCCTAGTCTCACACACACGGAGATTGTACAGAGATGCATGTACACACAAATACATGCAGATATATGTAATGATATATCATAGATGAGAGACAACACACTGATAGAAAGAAAGAGCAGGTCTTCATTTGACTATAGAAGGTTGTTGATCGTATGCTGTGGAGCTGTTATTGTATTGTGATTGAGGGCACGATGGAACATGGAAGATTAGGCCTACAGAAGGTTGTTGATCGTATGTGGTGGGGGTGGCTGAGAGTTTGAGAGGATGAGAGGGATGTTTAGTGGTAACCTTACGGAAATGAGATATATATTAGGGTATTTAAGGAATAACTAATATAAGGGTAATACCGTAATAGTGTAATTTTGTTGTACAATTGGGGCGGGGCAGGACAAGTATATATCTGCCCCACCCTGAACCTGGACCAGGTTTAATTCCTTTAACCCAACCCAGCCCTTTCTTTAATTGTTTACCATACCCGTTCCATTAGGGGCTGGAACCCGGTGGGGTGGGCCAAATTGCCACCCCTAAAATGAACATATGGGTTTGCCGTTTTGTATATTTGGTTATTATTAGTTTTCAATGAATCGTGTATTAGATCTCAAGATTCAACTTTTATTTACAAAAAGAAAGGGTTAAAATTCTTGATTTTTGAATATGAAATTATTAAGATTTTCAGCAACATTTATGCTCAATCCTGAATTCTGTGTTGGATTTTATGCTATCCATTTAACTATTAACAATCAGGTGAATTCTATGTTGTTTAATGAATTGAAGTTCAAAACTTTTGTTTTTTGCAGTGAATATTTTTTATTTATCATTATTTTTGATATGTAATTTATGACTTAAGAATTTAAACGGGGAACGCAGCCCAAGAAACTCAACTCCTAAGGATTTTCAATTTCTCCCAGCAACCCAACAAAAAAGAGAGTTAAGAATAGAAAATTTAAACACCCCAATAGGAGTCTCCTCACCCTCAAAGGATCTCCTATTGCGTTCTCTTTATAAGCTCCACCAAAGGCACAAAGGAGCCACTTTTCAAAAAACACGGGCTTGAGAGTCCACAAAACAACCACCTTGCCAGTCCTCAATCAACCCCTAGCGAAGTCCGAGGCATAACTCAGTGAACCCCGAACAAAGACAAAATCAAACCCAACTGTCCCGACCAACCGTGCAATGAAGCAAAAGATGATCAACCGTCTCTTCAGCTGCCTTACACATGCAACACCAATTGACAACGATTTGTCTCCTCCTCCTCCAATTATCACAGGTCAGAATCTCCCCTAACACCCCCGTCCAACAAAAAAAATGCCACCTTTAGAGGGGCCTTGGTGCGCCACACAGCCTTCCAAGTAAGAAGGAACAAACATCAAACCTCCCCTATGGAGAAGAGGTCCAAACCAAAGAATCAACCTACCCCCACAGCAACCTCCTGACGATACAGCACAGAAAACAGGTGAAAAATGTCACCAAGCTCCCAGTCGTGGAAATGCCACACAAAACACACATCCAAGTTCAACCTCCCACCATCAAGGTGATGGTAGTCAGCAACCAAAGCATGTCTATCCGAAGCAGTCCTAAAACAGTTTGGAAAAAAGTACACGCCAGCGTACGCTCCTCAAACCAACAGTTCTCCCAAAATTGGATGAAAGGGCCCCCTCGCAGCTTGAATCTAACGTGTTTTGAAAACTCGTCTCACACCTTCTTGATGAATTTCCAAACACTAACCCCTAGAATCCTCGTCTCAAGGGAACATCACCCACCCCTCTCCTTCCCGAATCTCTAGGCAATGACTCTCCTCCAGAGTGTATCTTTGTCCACACCGAATCTTTAAAGCCACTTCCCCAAAAGAGCCTTGTTAAAAGGCTTCAGTCTTCTAATCCCCAGATCACCACCCTGAATCAGTTTGCAAACATGCTTCCGCCGGGCAAGATTATACTTGAACTCCTCCCCCAAGCCACCCCAAATAAATTTCAGTTGTATCCTCTCAATCCTCGTGGCCATAGAGGAGGGAATCTGGAAAAAAGAGAGAAAATAGGTAGGAAGACTCGAAAGTGTGCTCTTCAAAAGGGTAAGCTCCCACCTTTGAGAGAGATTGCTTTTTCCACTCTGCCAACCTCCTCTCGACCCTCTCAACAAATGGGTCCCATATGCCTACTGCTTTTGCAGGTGCCCCTAACGATAGCCCCAAGTATGAAATGGGAAAGTGATCAGCGCCACATCCCAGAGTATCAGCTAAGAGAGAGATATTCGCAACCTCTCCCACTGGAACCAACAAGCTCTACCTGACATTGACTTTCAGACTAGAAACAACCTGAAAGCAAACTTGGACACACCATAAATGCCTCATCTGAGCCTCATCCGCATCCCAAAGCACTAAGGTGTCTTTAGCAAATAGCTGATTAGAACGGTTTCTACCCACCCTAAAACCTCTAATGAAGTCCAGATCCACAACCCTCCTTATTAACCTGCTGAGAGCCTCCATCACAATGATAAACATGAAAGGGGAGAGAGGATCTCTCTGTCTCAAACCTCGCGAACTCCTGAAGAAACCAGTCGGAGCACCGTTCACGAGCATTGAGAACCTTGCTGAGAAAATGTAGAACTCAATCCATCTCCTCGAAGACTCCTTGAATCCCATTCTTTCCAACATATACATCAAGAACCTCTAGCTCACATGATCATAAGCTTTGTCAATATCAAGCTTACACAAAACCCCTGGAACCCCACTCCTTAATTTGGCGTCCTCACACTCACTAGCAACGAGGACCGAGTTTAGAATCTGACGTCCTCCCACAAAAGCATTATGAGATTATGAGATAATCCCATTCATACAACTCATCAATCCGAAGGCCCGAACTTTGGAAATCAGCTTGTAAATATAGCCCACCAAGCTAATAGGGGGAGTCACCATCACAGCTCTTCAACAACGAAAGCACTTCCTATTCGCTACATGAACGCTCTAAATCACCACTCTTGGCCTCTGAAATCTTGTCAAACTCGAACCCTCCCAACAAAGGTTTCCATGAGGCTTTGAAAACAATCTCTGATAGAATGAGGCTGCACCCCTACACGCATCCTCCTCCCTACAAAGCTCCACGCCATCCACCCAATGTTATTCCCCCTCTGATGAGCATTGGCCGTCCTTTGAAAGAACCTTGTGTTCCTACCTCCCTCCTTAGCCACAAGGCTCGAGATTTCTAATGCCACGAAATCTCCTCCGAAACAGCAATCTTTGCAATCTCCTCCTGGCAGTGCTCCCTCCTACGTTGCTTCGAGTCCTCAATACCCCCCATATCCTCTCTCCGATTAATCTTTGCAACATCCGGCAAAGCCCTGTTTTTTCTCCATTCCAGATTCCCCCACACATCCTTATTCCACCTCTTGATGTCTTCCTTAAGAAGATGAAGTTTGCTAGTGACAACAAAACCCGTAGTGCTTCACGTTGTACCCCTCCCCCCAGACTCGCACTTTCTCCTTAAACCCCTCCTGCCACATGTTCTCGAATCTGAAGGGAGAGCTCCTCCTCAGTGATCCCCCATAATTCAACACCAACGGAATATGATCAAAAGTGACTTTAGCCAACGCCGCTTGAACCTCATCCGGAAACTTCTCCTCCCAGTCCCCAGAGATAAGAAATCGATCTAGGATAGACAAGGAAGGATCCTGCCTGCTACTAGACCAAGTAAAAGTCGCTCATTCTATCGGTAAGTGAATCAACTGAAGGTCATCAATGAACTTAGAAAACTGCTCCATATCCAATGTCCACCTCCCTCCGGTAGACCCCTCCAATGGAGACCGGACCATGTTAAAGTCTTTGTCCACACACTAGGGGAGATTCTAACTACTACAAACAAAATGGAGTTCCTCCCATAAACTCCATGTCTGGCCGTCCTTTGTAGGGCCATAGACACCAGAGGACACCAAATGGAACCCATCCTTCATTGACAAAGAGCAAGAAATTGAGAATCTCCCAACCCACACATCAACTTTGGAAACACCTCTCCTATCCTACATAACAAGAATACCCCCAGCTGAACCCGTGACTTCGAACATCGCCCACTCCACAAAGCTCCCTCCCCAAAGACTCCTCACCACCCTATCTGTCACAAAAGCCATCTTGTTTCTTGAAAACACCCCACATGGGCTCCCCACTTCCTCACCGCCAATTTCACAACCTTATGTTTGTTCGGATCATTGATACCACGGACATTCCAAGAAATAATGTGGATTTTCATAAGGAAACAATCGAGCTCCCCTCCCTTCCCCTCTCCTTCTCCCTCCCACTCCTCCCCTCGTAATTCACGTAGGAGATAAGATTCCAGACTTCCTTCTCTCCCTTCCATGAAGAACTCCTCTGCCCCTTACCTTTGCACTACCCTCTATGGTAGATTGAAGTATCACCATAGCCGACCATCCTCCCCCTCATACGTCATCACCAAAAAACCGCTCATCGCCCCAATATACTCCCTCACCCAACCCTCCCCTCTCGAAACACCTTCACCCTCACTTGTAACTGTTATGTCCCTCTTGTGACTCACTGTAGCCAAAGGCTCCATTAAACACCCCTCGACAGCCTCAACTTCCTCCCAAGGCT